GGTCACTGTGTCAAAGGTTAAGAGCTTGTTTTGTTTTGCAGGGCTGAACTCATCACCCGTCCCCACAGCGTCACATCTGCTCTCAACAGCAACAACTTCATATCAAAGAAAACCGTCCAAGAAACTCCAGTAATTACATTCATCTTTGCAGGTGGAGCAACTACAACTCCATCGTGCAGGAGAAGAAGGAAGTCACGGTAAACTGAACATGTGATTGCTCTCCAGCAGACAGCGATGAAAATACAATGAAGGGCTTTTTTAGGAAACCATTAAATTAATGCATAACAAAAGTGCTGCGGATATTAAATCATCTTAATTAAAGGAAATATTTGACAGGAAAGGTAAATAAATTAAAAGTACAAAATAAATGATCATCGTTTGATCCTGATACCACCTGAAAAATGACTAAATATTATCTCCATGGTGACGCACAGGCTTCGTCGTTTTGTTTATTGTTTGTTTTGTAATAAATTCAGTTAAATGCAAATCTTGCTCCTGGATTCTTTTTGATGCATCTAAAAAAAGCTTTATTTATTTATTTATGCATTACTTGATGATTAGTTATTTATTCATTCGTTTTTCTCCAGAAACAAACACAAATGTCTTCTGGTTTGTTATGTTTGCACCTTCATATCACTTTTTATTCAAACGGGTATCAAATGGACTGAATGTAGTTTAGCCCAAGATAATGTTAACAGTGTGAAACTGGATATTTCCTGATTCTATTGATCTGTTTGTCAAGGCTACAGCTGTCTGTATCTTTGTCGTTTTATCTTCAGTTTAACGAGCTCTGTTAGCCTCATGATCAGCTCACTGATGAGTAACCTGAAAACTCGAGACACTAGAAAGGAATGTGGGTTTATCTCCCACGTTGTTGTTGTTGTATAACAGTGATCACGACCACGTGTCCTTCCGTGTGACTCAATTGACAAGTTTAACCCAAGTGACAACCTCGGGGGCTGAAACAGAAGCAGCAAAGGCTGCAGTTCCTCTGACGGCCATTTGAAGTATTTCTGTAGACCTCCAGGTTAAAATCAGGGGCGTCCTCGGGAGCTGGAAAAGGAAGCAAACGTAGAAGTTCTGCAGTTCCTCCAGAGTCCTCTGTGTGTGTTGTTGGGGGAAACTTCAAAACCAGAGTTTTCAGTGGTTAACTTTACATTGGAAACATTCTCGTCCTTCCCTTTTAGTGACTAACTGTGAGTTCATATGTGTGTTTATTGAGTTGTCCCTTAGTTTTACTTGAACTTTATGTTTTGGTTTCATTTTTACTTGTTTTTTGCCTGAAAATGTGTGTGTGTTACTATTAATGTGTAACAAGGAAGTCAAGAACCTTCATTACATGAGGCTCAGAGAAAATACTCCAAAGGACAAATATGGACGGAAACTCAGTGCTCTGTGCTGACCGATGGAAATCTCCACTGCTCTGTCCATCAGAGCAGAAATGATCTTTGTGTTTCCCCTTCCTCTCCACCTGCAGCTGCTCCTCCAGTCTGCATGGCAACCAGGCTGAAGCTCCGTCCCATTTACAAGCAAACACCTTCTTAATCCTTCACGTCGCTGCTTTCTTGTAAAGTTGCCAAAATGTTTGAGTGTTTTTATCTTGTAAAGTTACACAGTGCAAAACTGTAAATGCAGAAATCACCTGTATTATCACACAGTGACTTTCAGTGGTACAAAAGCTGAAACTGAA